GCGTGTGTTGGGGTAGATCCCGCCGTGTAATGCCACTGCATGCTGAGAACCCTGAGCACTCCGAACTGTCCCTCCTTCTCGTGAACCGTCCCTCTGGCTCATTTGTTGCCTTAACGGGCAACGACAGCGATCCTCCACAGCCACTCTCATCTACCGACAGATATGTGTGGGTACTGTAGCCGACATAACGGTCGCTCTGGATGATAACAACAGAGGCGACCGAACTGGTGAGCTCTGAATGGTTCGGTCGCACCGAGCCTCTCCCTCATTGGTGTCGTTTGTTGCTGCAGCACCTGCTGATGCGGCCACTCGGCAGGCCCTGGCTGACCCTCGCTCCCTGGCTACTCGCGAGGACCTCGCCCGTTGGTTCGAGCAGTGGGCTGCATGGCGCGTCAGGGAGGGCCAGCTTGAAGACGACCCACATGGTGGTGGGTAAACACATACATAAGACGAGCCGCATTCATGATCAGCCCATCTGCCGTTTGTTTGTCTGTCTGCTCTCATGTGCAGTGGAGTCCGAGTATGTGCATATGATCGGCGAGGGGAGATATCCGGGGTTTAGCGAGGTGGAGCGACAGCAGGTGCGTTTAGCATTGCGTGGCGCCTCGTCGGCTGGCGCATCTGCTGCTGGTACTAGCGCCGCTGCTTCGTCTTCGTCGAGCCAAGTATACCACGGTTGTCCGCAATGGTTCAATGTATCTGTCCACTGTGTGAGTGTCTCCATTCAGCCACCTTACGAGCCCGCTGGGGACCCACCTACCGACGCAGAGCGGGGCCGTGGGGCCTCTCCTGATGCTGATGTGGTGGTCGACGTGGCTCCTGATGCTGATGCTGAGGTACACAAAAATGAAAAGAAGATCTGACGGTCACCATTGATGTGCCTGGTGCGTATGTGTGCAGTCGGATGAGGCGACTGAAATCGCTGTAGTGCTATGGGGCAACAGCCTCTTGAGAGACCCTGGTAGTCGACACAGCCAGCCAGCCAGCCACCGACCGGCCTTCCATGGCTTCTTTCTTTCTCTCTGTCTGCCTGTGCACACAGATGAGAGGCGGCGGCGTCAGGGGGCTTCACACACAGCAGCAGACCAAGGCCGCGAGGAGGTACACCAACAGCCAATAGCGCGGGGGTCCTTGACATATGTCCATCTCCGTGTGTGTCTGTTCAACGACTCTATTGGTCTGCTCAGAGCGCTCCCTCTGCTGCCCCAGCTGCTGCTGCCGCTGCCGCTGCGGCTGCGACCCACACGATGGCCAGCAGGCCGCATGAGCCTGTGCTCGATGTGGCTGAGGCGATTGACGAGGCCGCTCTAGTGACGTGGATGAAGGACCTACTAGACAGCCGGGCTCAGGAGAGGAGAGTCCATAGGAGAGCCCATCCCCTTCTGGGTAGGCAGGCAGGCAGACAGGCAGGCAGGCAGGCAAGACATAGCGGACCAGTGATCTTGTGATCTTCTCTTGTCTGCTTCTCTCTGTCACCTGCATGAACACGCAGAGGCGTTGCGGAGGGTCAGTGAGGGGAGGATCTCTCCTGCATGGAGCGCAGTCCTGGACGAGCAAGAGCGACTAGAGGTGCGTAGACCAACTTAACATGCAACGAGCGGTCAGGTGTTGTTCGCTACTCCACTGTCTGCAGGCGGAGAGAGCATCGCAGGCCACCACACAGCCATCCGCCGTGCCAGCATCTGCCCCTGGCCCATCCAGCGGACCACCACCCGCCACACACACATACACGAAGCCCGTAAGCGCAACGCAACCAGTGCAGCTTGACAACGCTACGGGTCCGTCTCCATGAGTGTGTTTGTATTTCTGGGTCTATCTGCGTGCCACCTGTTTGTTCAGGGGGTGAGGACTTCTTCTTCTTCTTCTTCTTCTTCTGCCTCTGGCGGCACTGCTGCTGCTGCTGCTGCCTCGTCGGCGTCAGCTCGAGTACGACACGACAAACACGCACCCCACACAGATCTCCGCTTGTCCATTAACTTTGTTGTGCATTCAGGTTGAGCCACCTTCCGGACGTCCTGCCGCCCAGATCAATGCCCTGACGGCTCAGCCAATGGGGGCGGCTGGTGCGGCTGCAAATATGTCATCTGGCGAGAGGAATGAGGCGGCTCACGTACTGGGGGCGCCCCAGGTACATACCGCACTTGACACGCACCATCAGTAGGTAGCTCTCTCAGCCAGAGATCTTGCCATGTGGTGTGTCCATATATGTGTGGTTCGTCAGGTGGGCTCAGCGGTGCCCGGAGACCACCCTGTCGGCCCTCGGCAGGTGTTCGCGTTGACCCCTCCGTCGGGGGTAAGGTGGCAGCGAGAGAGGCAGATGAAGCATCGGAGTGCTGCAAACAGTTCCCTTTGCGTGTGTCTCTTTGCGCGTGCCGGCAGATCTCTCACACGACGCCTCTCCCTGACCTCAGGACACTCACGATGCAGCCCACTGGTGCAGCGCCCTCATCCCGTCCCCCCAGCCCTCCCCTCTTCCAGCCCGCCGACCTCTTCGACCTGTCATTGCGTCATTGCCCATCAGCAAGATGGCCGCCATGGCCATGTCGACTGACCCCAACAGAGGAGCCGCTCTCCGCTCGCAGATCGTCACTCGCACTCGGCAACAGGAGCTGCTGGGCCACACTGCGGAGACCATTACCAGCACCCTGCTCAACAGCGTCCAGCAGCACATCGACAAGGCCATCAGGCGTCTCGGGCTGGCGGACGTGTTGGCCTTCGACATTGAGGATGATCTGGAGGCCGGCTTGAAGGTGGTCTATGTGCTGGAGCGGGGCACTGGCGAGGAGTGGCGGGCAATGGGTCGGTTCCTTCGGCTGGCCTTCATCTACCGGCTCACCCCTGCTGATGCGACGCGGCCTCTCCGTGTGTCGGCTGACGCGCTGCCCACAGCAGCGGCCTTCCAACAACTACCACTGGCCATGGCCCTCTACAAGATCATCGGCCACCTGCTGACACACAGGGGGACCAGCCTGGCGCTGCAGCACGGCAATGACGGGATCTATTGGATCAAAAATGAGTGGTTTCGCGTGCTGCCGTTGGGTGACTTGCCGGGCGGCCATGGATATGCTGAGGGCTACAAGCGCACCGATCCCGTCATCCGACGGTTCGATTCGTTTCTCTACCCCTCATTCTCGGCATTCCTGCTGGACCATCGGCTCGGATGGTACGTCGTCTGGTGGTTGCCCTAAGAGGGGGTGGTGGGTCACAAGGAGGTGTTGACGGCGGCCATCACAGAGTTCCGTCGTGACCCACGCTATCAACGACTGCTAAACGATGCCATCACAGAGGATTTGGGCATCGCTGTCGACAATCACAGGCTCTATCGCAATCTGAATGGAGGATGTACGGACCTTGGGACCGACGATCGTCATGTGATTGTCAGCGGTTTCCGGCCCAACGATACCGTCGCTGCCCACCTGATTATAGGTTACTTCCATATCAACCTGCTGACGACCGAGGCACCTGTGGCTGATCGGTCTCAGCCGCTCGACCGCTACCCACTGAGTCGCTACCCTGTGTCGATTGGCGCCGCCCGCCGTCTGCTGCGGTGGTTGGAGTTCGAGAGTGTCATCATCGACAGGGGGATTGTGGTGAGGTGAGTGGTGTCGGCTGGCGGTTGGGGTGTTGTTGGTGGTTTTGACGTGTCGCACACCACACCCCTCAGCCAGTGCCACACGTCCCCCCTGGCCAATTTCCCCTTCCCACCACAGCACCCCCCATTCGTACCTCCCTACCCGCCGCCCCCTGCAGCCGTCGTCTATCCGCCGGCTGCTGGACCGGCGCACCGGCCATCGATGCCGCTGGCGGCACAGCACACACTGCATCCTGCGCTGCGGCCACTTTTGGCACCGGCTGATTTCCGAGGAGGGCGTCCTCCGCACCCACCAGGTGGCCAGCCGCATGGCCACCAGCAGCACCAGGGCGCGGAGGGCCGGGCCAGTGAGGCACCAGGGGCGATGGCGAATGGATGGCGGACATAGCAGCGATGGAACGGAGAGAGGGAGGGAGGGAGGGAGAGAGAGAGGGATGGAGAGGTGGGCGGCACAGACAGATAGCATCTTCGGCACCTGTTTGTGTACGTGAGCGGACAGACAGACAGACGGGGAGGGGGCACAGAGGGACTTAGCACTCAGACATACCGACATGAGTAGGGGCAGAGGCGCTTTCATCCATCCACTTGGATGGTCTGTGCAGTCAGTGAATTGCCTGTGTGTGTCTGTCTGAGTGGCCGGCGGGGATTGACTTAAGTAGCTGCCTGATTGACTCATGACTGACGACGCCCCTTCGGTGCCATAGAGGTGTGCATAGCGTCGATGGAACTCGTGTCTGCGATGAATGTGCGACTCACTGTCTCTCGTCAGTGGCAGACACAACCAGACACCGTGATCTCATTTTGCAATGTGCAACGGCGTGCCGTGGCTCTGTGTGCATGAGGTCGCCCCTGCCGGCTGAGCTCGCAAACTGCGGATCTCCTCCTTCGAACTCGGAAGAGTGGCAGCTGTTGGCAAAAAAGCCTCATGGGCGACATCGGCTCTCACGGGCAAGCAACGGCCGTCAAGCAGGAGGGCGAGCGGCTGCCGGTCATCGAGTTCCTCTCGCCCATCGAGCTGGGAAGGCACTTGGCCCTCCGATTCCTCGCCTTCGCCAAGAGCAAGCCGCGCGGTGTGATAGCGCTGCCCACCGGCAAAACGCCCGAAATGTTTATCAAGTTCCTCACGCTGTACCGGGACGAGTGGGGCAGCAAGGCGGTCGAGGAAGATTTCCGGCAGGGCGGGCTCGCCTCGCTGATGGGCGGGCCCTTCCCGGACACATCCGAACTGACATTCGTACAGCTGGTAAGCCATTGCAATTAACGCGTCGTCACCACACGTACATCTCGCCTCCAGTCAGTCAGTCGATTGATTGTGTCTGTCGTGCTGTGGTGTCTGTGTGTGTACTGATCAGGACGAGTTTTTCCCCATTCTGCCCAGCCACAAGAACGCCTTCACCCACTACGTCCGCGAGCGGTACATGCCCCTCCTCGGCATTCCTGAGTCACGCTTCATCCACATGGACCTCATCGCAGCTGGCGTCATCACGGCCAACGACATTCACGACCTGTTTCCCGACGGCAAAGCCGACATCTCCCTCCTCTCGCGCGACCCCGTCAGCGAGGTGGAGAAGGAGCGTGCTGCAGCGCTGAAGCGTGTAGCTGAGTTCTGCCAAAAGTTTGACGAGCGGGTGCGGTCGCTGGGCGGTATCGATTTCTTTCTCGGAGGCATCGGGCCGGACGGTGAGTAGTCGACAAAGACAGACGCTAGTTCTCCACCACACAAAGGACATTCATGTGTGTCTGTCGTGTGTGTGCTGATGGATCAGGTCACATCGCCTTCAACATGCCTGGCAGCGGTCACGACAGCACCACCCGTCTGGTGAGGCTCAACTACCCCACAGCGGCCCAGGCGGCAGTGGACCTGGGAGGCATCGAGTACGCCCGGGACAAGCTGGCCATGACGCTGGGGCTGGGCACCATCTGCAGCAAGAGGGACAGCATCATCATCATCGCCGCCGTGGGAGAGGGCAAGGCAAAGGTCAGTCAAGTTAGAGTCAAACTGACTCTAACTGATGGACGTTTGTGTGTAGGTGGTTCGCGACGCCCTGTTGAGTCATGTGAGTGAGGACGTGCCAGCGACAGCCTTCCACTCCCACACAGGTATGACTGACACAGCCACTCACCGCCACTCAGCCAGCCGTGTGCAATCCATCCGTGTGCACACTGGATGCCTGTTGGTTCAGGGTGTGTGTTGTATGTGTCTCGCGGAGCTGTCAAGGAGCTGCCGAACAGAAGAGCCATTCACCTGCAAAGGTCAAACCAGTCATCCGCTTGTCCAACATCGTGGATACATTTGTGTGTGTGTGTGTGTGTGTGTGGCGTTGCAGGCAGCTGGACGACTGCGCGTCATGTGGTGAGTCGGTCGATTCAGTGCGCGACAGGGTCATCGACGAGGGCTTCATCAATACGGCCCTCCAACAGCGCTGCTCCATCGAATCGCTGCGGCAAGAGCACCTCCAGTCCACACCCACAGGTGTGCAACGATCACACACGAGTAACAAAGGAATCGGCACACAGGCATTCTGTCGATTGACGTACGTGTCAGGTCGGCTGGCTCTCCGCACAGTGGATGCCTGCGGTCCCCTCTCGGCCCCCTCGTCGGCCTGGCCGCCGAGCGAGGAGTCGTCGCGTCGGCTGATGTCCAAGCTCGACAGGGGGCTGGCCACGCTCAAAGGCATCCCCGCATTCAGGAGCAGCTACCGAGGCAAGAGAGGCGACGAGATGGTTGGTGGTGTAGGGGCTGAGGAGGTTGTGTTTCTGCACACCGCGCCGCACCATGACGACATCATGCTGTCGTACCATCCGCTGATGAAGGTCTTCCTGTCACTCCCCAACTACCATCACCATTTCGCGTACCTCACCAGCGGATTCCACTCAGGTAATCCACTCCCAACAGCACCCACATCCACGTAGGCAGACGAATCGTGTGCTCATGTCTATTCTCTCTCTTTGTGTTCAGTGAGTGACTCCTACATGCTGTCGACTCTCGCCCGTGCCTTCAACTGTGATGGCGGCGTCGACCGGTTCATCGCGAATGCGTCGGCTCTCATCTTCAGAGCGCCCTATGACGAGGTACTGCAGCGATTCACGGCCGCTCAGCAGCGAAAGGACAATGACACAATGGGCCACATCGAAACGGTCAGGGAATGTCGGGGGGACAGACAGACAGGCAGATGCGAGCGGATATGTAATGCGTTGGTGTGCAGGTGTTAATGCTGCGTCAAGTTGTGGCCATATGGGATGCCACGGATGCGGCAGCACTCGCTCAGGTGGCGCGTCGTCTGCATGAGAAGGTGTTGCCGTCGCACATGCCTGGCGACGCTTTGAGCCGTGAGCTGCAGCTCCTCAAGGGCGGCATGAGAGAAACCGAAGTCGACAGGTGCGTCCCACACGCACCATTACATAGACATACATCTGGTTTGACGCGTGCATCTTGGTGTCTTGTTGTGCCTGTAGGATGTGGGCATTGCGTGGCGTGTCAAGTGACCGGACGCGCCATCTGCGCAGCAAGTTCTACACCGACGACTACTTCACGCCCCTGCCCACGCTCGATGACGACGCCATGCCACTCGCAAAACTGATACAGGTCACACACAACACTGTATCTCCTCCCTAATGGCGCCCACTGCCTCTCTCCACTGTTTGTGTGTACAGGAGTGCAATCCCGAGGTCATCACCGTTGCACTCGACCCTGAGGGCACCGGGCCTGATACCCACTACAAAGTTCTGCAGGCAAGCGTGGCGACCATATACACACGTCCAGTGCACATCCACGTCCGCTGCGACCGGCTGCAGGTGGTGGCAGAGGCGGTGCGGTACGTGTCGGCTGAGCGTGCGTCTCGGGGCGTGTCGTGGAGTCCGTCGATATGGGGGTACCGCAATGTGTGGCACCGGTTCGACATGTGGGACGCCAACCTCATCTTCCCAACCGACCAACAGCTGCTGCACGAGATGAACGACGCATTCCTCTCATGCTTCTCCACACAAAAGGTCAGACACGGCCCACCGGCACACACCACTGTGTGCTGAATCGTGTGTGTGCGTGTGAGTGTGCAGGCAGCGTCTTTTCCGTCGCCCTACTATGACGGGCCTTTCAGCAAATGGGGCGAGGTAAACCGAACGCTCACGTGACGGCACACAATGCGCTGAGACGCATGCTTGCTGGTGTCTGTCTGTGTCAGGCCATCCAGCGTGAGCAGTTGGCCGATCTGAAGACTCTCCTGGGCCCATCATACGCCACCAACCACCCAGTACCGGCACACACACGGACACTGTCATGTGTGCTGTGGATGGATGCGTCGTCCCCCTGCGTCTCCATGTGTGCAGGATGCCCTGGTCAGTGGGGCTAGTGGCTGCATCCTGCTCAAGGAGATGACGGCACAGGAGTTCCTTCGAGAGGCCCGAGAACTCAAAGACCGCCTCCTCACCTATCACAACAACCGCAGCTAGATGGTCTTCGGTGGTGTTGACTTTCTGGTGCCGCTGGGCGGGCTGGTGGCAGACTGAAGTGTGTCTGTGACGATATCGATGTCGCCGATTTTGGTTGTGCATTGGCGTTTTTTCTGCATTTAGTACTGTCTGCATTGTGCGTTCTGGATTATACAGCAATAGGTCGTGGGGGGTGGGATGGTGCGTTCAATGGGGCAAGTTCTGTGGGCAGGTTCTGCTCGTTTGTGTGGGTAGGCGGCTGAGCTGCACTTTTTCTAGTGTCGAGGGGGAAGACACAACGCTCTTAATCAACAGCTTTGCTGCCGTGATGAGCACACGTACCAGGTCCAAACGCACATGCACCACCCAGTGCTTCATGAACAGCTGAAGCCGACACGTTAATATCGATTGACATCTCAACACCCAACACCTTGAATCCCTATCAGCGAAGAGGCCTTCCTTGCTTGTTCCCTGGAGTGGACGCTCACAGCCCTCTCCCTCTCCCTCAGTCAGCGACCTCCTCTGCCGGCCGTCGCTCCCCCGGACTGGCTGCTGCTAGCGATGGTCGGTGGTCTTGTCCGAATGATTCCACTCATGAATTGGCCCACCCAGTTCCGCAATCCTCTGGTCTCCCGCTCTGTCACACGCTGGGCTGCCCACTCTTGGTAGCTGAGCCTCGGACCTCCAAATACTTCAGCGAAGCGTCGAATGGGGCTCCCGCAGCTGGACTGCTGGGGGCTGTTTGTGCAATCCAGCCGAAATATCGTTGAGGGGTCGTCGGCAAGAGGGTCGTCAACATAGTCCAATCCAAAGAGCCCCTCCATCGCCAGCTCGACCTCGAGGACTCTGCTGGTTGTGATGGCCTGCAGCTGGCTGGCCACTTGTGTGGCGGTGGGGCGCAAGGCGGGGTCTAGGTGGAGCATGCTGGTCAGCAGAAGCCGAAGGGGAGCGGGAATGAATGAAGGCAGAGGCAGCAGGGGATGGCGATTCTCTGCATTCACAGACAAACCAGAGAGATGGAAGTATGAGAATGGGTGAGCCCTCTTGACGCGACGTTTCTTACTGGTCCGCTGTTGACGTCGGAAGAGGTCTTGCAGAATCCGGCCACAAACATCGACATCGGCAGCCCTGCCCACAAATTCTCCTCTGCCCTCCCTCTGGGCAAAGTCAAGCCCCCCCAGCAGCAGCCTCTTGCCGTCCTTCGACAGCTTGATGGCATCTGCCGTCAAATAGCCATGAGCTATGCCCTGAAAGCACACACAAAAAGATCGAAACAAGTGTAATGTCTTCACTTCTCTCTCCCTTCCCCTCTGTCCACCCATGGCTTACGCTCTTGTGCATGTGGGCCACGGAGTCGATGAGTTGTGTCGCGATGCTCATGGCGAGTGGAAGCCCGACAGCTCGGCCGTTGTGGCGGCCGATGAAGGCCTCTAGGGACTCCGAGTCCGCCATGTACTCCATGACGAGAACAGGCTGGCCGAGCTCCTGGTAAGCCCCTACCAGGCCGGCAATGTTGGGGTGCTCCCCCATCTCCAGAAGCAGCGACAGCATCTAAAGCAGGCAACACAACACAAAGGACATAGAACTGATTGGGAGAAGGCTCTTTTTTGATGCCTCACTATGCACAGCCGGCTACCTCTGTCGCACTGTTGCGGCCGCCCACGTTCCTGCCGTCGACCTGGCGGTAGACCGTCATCTCGACGGTTTCCCTGCACACAGACATTAACACGCATCCAACAGACACATACGTCGTCCACATGAATGCGGTCTCTGTGTGCACCGGATCTTCCTCACCGCAGGTTGCCGGGCCTGCTCATGAGGCCCACCATCTTGGACGTCCATCCCTGGTCGTCGTCGATGGCGGGCTGGGCAGGCAGCGGCATCACCTGCTGGGGCTCGAAGGGCGGCAGGAGGGCTCGGTGGGTGGCCAAAAAGTGGCCGAAGCCTGGACACACAGACACATGGACGAGGATACGAGCGTGATCCATCTCCATTCCTTCCCTGTTTGACTTACCCCTCGATGCGGGGCTGCCCTCTTGTGGATTGTGGGGGAGGGGGATGGAGGGGAGGGGGCTGGGGAGGGGGGGAAGCACTGGGGGCGAGAGGGGCGCGAGGTCCTCTGCCTCGAGGACGGCGGGAGCTGTTCGGCTCGTCATTGTGGTTTTGTGGAGACGGAGGGGGCAGCCTGTCCCCACAACGGTCGCAGATCTCCGAGTCCAAGTTAGATCTGCCAATGCGCGTGCTGTTCGCGCATTCTGTGTGTGTCTTTCCAATAAGACTTGGTCAGCCGATTCTAAGATGGTCGTACGGATGAGTCACTGTCGGGTTATCCACTGTCGGGGTGTTTGACCTGTATCAGGCCCACATTGACTGACAGCCAACAAATACGTCTCCAACGGACACAGGAAGAGACAACACACACACACGGCCTCCTGACGTCCCTCTCACAACATGATGCACGACGTGGAAAAAGCGACACCATGATATAAAATGTAGAAGACGATAAGAGGCTGGCTAGAACGATAACAGGTTTGTCTCTCTGTCTGTCTATCTATCGGACTCGTATGTGCACCCGCAAGCGACCACACTCCCCTCCGGTGGAAACGCGGGCGGCACCATAGAGACACACAAACTATGTCGGATATAAAATGTAGGCAGTGATAGGAGACACGCTCGCTGGGGGCTACGCTTGCAGCTGCAGCCGCCTCCCGAACTGCACGATGGCTTCTCGATGCCGCTGACAGAACTCTTTTCTGCGACCGGTCCCGTATCGGCCGCACCGCAGGATGCAGCGGGTGCTGTGCCGTCACTCAAACGCTTTCAGCAGAGAGATCTTCAACTCCCAGTGCCCATCTAATCCCTGGGGCAGCGTGCTCACATCCCCTGCCCCGTCCACCCCACCGTGTCGGTCTTTCTGAGTCCGATGAAGTAGTCACCGTCGTGCAAGCCGTCCCTGGGCACGAGGCACATGCCGTCTTCGAGACAGAAGAGCTCCAGGATGCTCGCCTGGTCCTCGGCAGTCGTGGGAGTGGCCAGGTGCGCCTTCTCGCCCTCACAGATGGCCTCTCGCCCTCACAGATGCACCAGCTTCAGAATCCTCAACCAGCTTCACAGATTGGCTGACACCTGGCCTGTCCTGGACGTCGCCTTCTGCAGCATGTTGAGGATGCCCCATATCATTTGCTTCGACACTAGCCACCTCAACAGCTGTGCCCTATGCGCAGCCGGACATGCGACAAGCCCATCTCGTCGCTGGTCACCATGCGGCCCCCCACGAGCCACCGCTGGACGAGAAGGCAACCAGTGGGTTGAGAACTCCCGCTCATGCACCATGGACCGCTGCTGCTCGTCACTGCCGCGAAGACGTCAGCCATTCCGTCACCTACGCACCCCCCCCCCCCCCCCCCCCCC